TTCTTTTCTCTATTGTCAATTTCTGAATTAAAAGTTTGGCGTAAAAAGCTTAGCCGTTTTGATGTTTTAAGTTTTGTGTTTTAAAAATGTGATAAATATTTTTCGCCTCACTTTAAAACTCGGAGCAATAAAAAATAAAAATGATGTCATTAATACAAATAAACTATTTTACATATACTCCACGTACAAAGTCATGAGTGAGCCGAACATTTGATGAGTTTATGGTGAAGATAAAGTAAATAACGCTAGCGCCCGCAGTGCTCTTAAAAAATATAACTCCTCCGAGCGAGAGAGTATTTTGATGTATTTACGAGCTCTATTTTTTAAAACCTACAAGTGTGTAATCACATTATTTTTATAAATAGAACACAAGAAAATATTTTACTTTTATTTTGGCCACTCTGAGTTCAGTTTTTGAATTCACCCGCGATGCAAATTTACATTGTTAGATCTAATTTTCACATTTCATTTTTTTACGAGCTTTGGGAATATTTAGAAATGTATCAGCAGGGGGTCCACCGAAACCCGTAAATTTTTGAAAGGGGTCTACGAGAAAAAAAAGTTTGGGAACCTCTGGTATAAAGTATAATATTCCGTAACGCCAAACTACAAAATGTTGACAATGTATACTTTTCCAAAACGCATCCGAAAATGTATCGAAACGCATTGCTAGAGTAATCAGCGCATCAGAAACAAAGCTGATGCTTCGTTTGTTTTTGCATATTCAAAATATGCAATGTATGTATATGGTTACAATGTTTCGCAACTCTGCATATAGAAACAGTTTAAATACTGCAGCAGAACAGTATCCAAACATTGTATTGGTACGTTTTGGAAGTCAGCCTGTTTGATTAAAATTAGTTTTGAAATGCTTGAATTTTGCAGACGATTCGTTTGGCAGTCTCTTACAAAAAACGTATTCCAAACGAAACATATTTCCATAGCTGGTAGTTTATTTTGCAATTCAAAGTAAATAGGAGAAAAATCAACTGTCGTTTTATTTCATTCGATTCGAATCGAGTTTCATTCGAAAACGGATACCGTAATTCGAGCCCAGTTTTATGTAGGTATAGGTTTTTTGTTGAATGTTTTATTTACGGGAAATACATTTTAATTTTTTTTATATAAATATACAATTTCTCACAAGGCGAATTCACATTAGGCGATAGCAGGAGTACAAACACAAAAATTACACCAACATATTTTACGCAAAATACCGGTAAGAATTATAAAAAAAAATCTTAACTTTGACATTATGAACCACTGAGGCTATGGAGCTATGATTCCATTTTACTTTTCCAGAATTTTTGGATGATTCCGTTAGTGCTTGGCATATATTATGTAGGCGATATTCAAAACCCGCAGAACTGTGCGACATTTCAATTTTTTTTCGCATTGACTTCGATAATAGTGTTCAGTGTTTCTCGAACACATACATATTACATATTAAATGGCTACATACAACGTAAAACAGGGTTATACTGCTTTTAAAACACCAATTGATGGAAAGCTTTGTGGATTATAAAATAAACTGTAAAATATTAAATTTTCTCAGTATTCAATTTTCGTCGGGAAACGTGGTTTTGTTGTGTTAAATTGCAAAATATATGATTTATAAAAATAATTAATAGCGAAAATGTTAAAGAAACGGCGATTTTTGTGAAATTATTAGCAAATTTCAGTGCATCTAAAGTTTCTAAAGCGTTGTTTACTTTTACTAGGGAATTGTCAAAATCGGCAAATCCCATGTAGCGGTTTCTGGAACGTGCCACATTTGTTCGCTACATCGTGATGTAATAAAAAGAAAAGCTGGCAGCACTCCGCAAGGTTGCAGAAATCTTTCAAAATATGTTCGAAACATATCTTGATATGGAAGGAACTGCTTTACACTGTCAAGGAAAAAAATTGCCAAAACTCAACGCAAATTTTAGCAACTTCAATCTTGCACTTTATTATACTAAAATACATTTTTTTAGATTCTAATTAAAATGTTTGCAATTTATGTGAAACCTTGCAGAATTTTTTTAATTTTCGTACAAACTTTGATCCAAAACCTGAGATCTATCACATTTTTTCGAAATCTACCACATTTTTTTCCAGATTCTACCACACGATTTTTTTTTCAAGTCCGATCACTGGCTGTAGGTTGAAGAGGATGCTGAACTTGGAGGAAGGCCAACACACCTAGGCCCAATCAGGTACCAATTGTGACTCCACATTGATCCACGAAACTTAGCTGCTGCATTATTTTAAACTTTGGAGTTGCACTTCTACACCCAGGAATTTCTGTATTTTTTCGCATCTTGCAGGGCAAACGCAGGGTAAGTTCCTGATTAGTTCAGGCTCTTCTTTGCCGTAGCAGCTCCTGCAGTAGTCATTGTGGCGGACCACGAGGCCTTCCTCATGCTTTCCTATTAAGATATGACCAGTGAGTGAGAACGAGAATTTCTTTTGTTCTCCATATGTCCCATCTGGTAACGGGTTCTTCATGGAAATGGTCCCTGAAAGTGTAATGCAAGTACCACCTATCACAAGCTCGTCTTCCTGCTCATTTCCTGGTATGTCCCTATACTGCGGAACCCTTACCAGATTTGCGCCAGTTGGCAACTGTTGCCGAATTTCTAGTGACAGAGTTATGCGTCTTAAAAGAGCCATGGCTGTCTGAGTATAAATATACATATTTTAGCGACAACAGCTTGTTTTCGACTTCTTGTATGTATGGCCGTAATTGNAATATACATATTTTAGCGACAACAGCTTGTTTTCGACTTCTTGTATGTATTTGGCTTGAACGGCACTGCAATGATCTGGTAGACTGAAAGACATTTGTATTCTTAATTGTTCCGATTATACGCTCCTCATGCTCTGTTTTCTAATTTGGAGCCGTACGTGTAAAATCGTATGACATCCTCGGTTACCGGAGTTCTTTCTAGTCACTTCTTTCACACTAATTTTTGTTTTATTTTAAAATCCCTTTTTACCAATTCTTTCATTTCGTATTTTGTAATTTTCTTAGGATACCAATATACTAGGTTTCAAAGGACCACGCAACATGACTGTAATACTGCCCGGCATGACGGAGGAAGACCAACGCGTAAAAATCAGTTCGGCTGATCCCAAACAGCAGGGTATACTTGACTTGTGGAAGGTGAAGGTGAGTCCTTTATACTGCATTACTTTATTACCAACAAATTTCATTTGATACACTCCTTCGCTTTAGAATATGGACAACATAGTGGAGTTGCATAACAAAACGCCCGTCTGGAATGATGAAACACAATCATATGTACTCAATTTTCATGGGCGCGTTACGCAGGCATCGGTTAAGAACTTTCAACTCGTACACGATTCTGATCCCGACTACATAGTCATGCAATTTGGACGTACCTCCGAGGATGTATTCACCATGGATTACCGTTATCCATTGTGTGCACTGCAAGCTTTTGCCATAGCATTGAGCAGCTTTGATGGCAAAATAGCTTGCGAGTAGAAAGCGAAGAAAATGGAGGAGAAATAAGAGCGACAAATGAGAGGACATCAAAATAAAACCAAACAATCATAACAAAATAATAGAAAGCAAATGCAATTATTTATGTCATTTAAACATAAAAAATTAAATTAAACTTAACGCAACAGAGTACGGTTCAAATCAAAAAAGTGCACGAATTTACTAAAAAAAAAATGGTTGCCTTAGTTGAAAGCGTTTCAAAGCGCTTAAGATTTACCTATGCGCGTGCACCCACTCGATTAAACTAATATTTTTTATATGTACATATAACAGTAGAGATTTGAAAAGATATTAAAAACACAATTGAAGAAAATTTATACAGCTGAAAGATATTTATTAATTTAAAATGTAGAATACTGTAACAGAGCTAAACATTATGATGCGATTAGACCAACATAAAGTAAGAATACAAAATCTAATGATTGTTAATAATGCATCTTTAGAAAGAAATCTGCATACAATTTTGGAATAGAGTTTTACACATTTACATACTTCTTTAAGGTTGAACCGAAAATGGAAGCAGAACTTTTGTTAAACATTTTATTGCAAGAATCCATTATTTACTGCATTAATTTTTAAGCCCGAGCGCACTTTTCTATAAGATTATTACTACTTTGTCTGTCCGTCCGCGTATGTATACGGAAGCTAAACAAAAAATTGTGGTAAATAATATTTGTACGGAAATTGGCGAAAAGAGGCGATAAAATGATAACAATTCAGACTTTCACAGAGTTCCTCGCATGTCTTGATGAAATAAAAGCCGAGATGTTTAACTCTTAGTTTCGCGGAAGCAGAGCACTGAGAAGAAGTGCCGTTACCCTGTCAGGAAATATTACCTCAAGGGTGTCCTGCCTAGCCTAATCATCAGCCATGCAGTTTTCTGTCTTGTCACTGTGTAGCTGACTTCCTAAACGTCAATTGCTTTGCATACGTACAAAGAATAATGTTGTATACTGCCTGTCTAACAACTCAAATCATTCTGTAATCCGAGGCTATCGCTTGGCTGCCGGAGGTGAGACGGAAGCCTAAGCTTTAGATTAACTCTACACCCAACATCTACTTATTCGTGAATATCTTTACTGGAACTCTGAGTAACCAGTATCTTAGCCTGATGGCAGAACAGACCGTGAGAGCCTTAACGCATTGTCAACCGGTATGAAGTCTTACATCATTATGTATGCAATATTTTGGCCGAGCAGTTGATTCAATTCAATTTTATTTTCTTTCGTTATATTTTATTTCAGAATTTTTTGTTTTATTACACCCTGTGACAAAACAAAAAAAATCTAACTACACGAAACAATCAATATACTCAAGAGACTATGGGTGAAATGTAGTGAAATTGCGTTTTTATTTTTTTCTCCTTGATGCCAGAATTTTTTTAAACGGACTTTCAAGTTTCAAAAATATGATTACTTCGAAATTATTTCAAAAAATCAGTGCGAATATATTATTCTGTATTTATATGCGTGCCAAATAAAAAAAAAAAGTTGAGTAGAATTTAAAAAATGGTTTTAATTAATTTTAACTTCTAAGCTAATAAATTTAAAAGGGCGATATTTAAATTTTCAAGGGTATTCAAGGATTATATTTTAAGAGGACATTTTCGGCCTTGTGCACCGAAAAAAAAATCTGTTCTACAGAATTTTCTCTTTAATTTGATGCTCATATTTTATTTTATATTGCGCGGAATTTTTTGATAAAGTTTTTTTTTTTTAATTTATCATATTTTTGAAGTTTTAAAGTCTTTAGAAAAGATCCTGACGTCAGTGACAAAAACTAAAAAACGCATTTACCTTTATTCGGACATATTTTCGCAAATATATTAGGGCTACTCGGGATGTTGTGGAAATGGTCTTGGATTTGCAGTTAGAATTTCATTTGCCAATTTTATGCTGCTGCCATGGCAACCGTGTACATTTTATTGTTTTGAATTTACAAATCACCGAATATGCAAATACAAAAGCATATGCACAAGATCCTGAACATCCCTATTTATTTTTTGTGTGTAAAATTGATATAGCACGGCGTTATTAGTTAATTTAAATTTTTGAAGTTTAATTTTATTAAAAAGTCCACAGCAATTATAATTACATTAAAAAATTAAATTAAATCAATATTCTACTGGCTGTGGCACTCGAACAAAAACCTCGTGGCTCATTAATCCGCATTACTACTGCATATCTGTCTATGCTATTTCATCCTTCTACAAATTTTGAAGTGTTTGATTCAGAATCAGTGTTGATATTTATTTCGATGTAAAAAACTTTCTATGGCCTTCAGCAAAACCAAATTACCAAAGATTTGTAGACTACAATTACTTGATAATTTTCGAATGTTTAGAGACGTTCTGGTAAATGTCTTTCTCTACCCACACCTTATATTGATTTATTGCATACACTGAGGGAAATAATTCATAGTAATAATGAATATTTATATTTGATTATCGTTTAAAATTGTTCATATTTAAAAATAATATTTTCATACCAAAATTTAGCACTCGTTAGCACGTATTTGAATGTCCACATCTGAGTATGTATATGGAAGTGTGGGTATGTACGGCATAGCTCAACGAAATGACTCAGAAATAATTTATTTATTTTTACTTATGTAGCAACTAACTTCAAATTGATGTATAATCATCTAGCAGCCTCATTGAGATAAACCAAATGCTTACACTTTTGATACGTATATTTGAATATAATTCAATATTAGTTGAAAAATCATCCAACTCGGGGCAATTAACTATTTCAGCATCAAAAGACATCTGCAAAAGAAACGTACTGTCTTTGAACTGCTTTAAGCGAAATGCATTTTATAGTAGTTCAAAACAAATTCAAAGTCGAACAATTGACTTGCTGCTTGTACATAATTCAAACTGCACTTTTGAAAACACATTTATATGTCTGATTTTAGCTGAGTATGCTGTAAGCTTCCAAAAGGTCCGGGTTCGAATCCCAACGGAGACAACATATGAAAATGATAATATAATTGTTTTTTGTGTCTTGGAAATATGAAAAAGCATCTGTGAAGTGCAGAACGAAACTTACTGACTGTGAATTGATTTAAGCCAAATGCATTTTAAATTGATTGAAATCAAATTCATGGTCGGATAATTGACTGATGCCTAGGTTGTCATAGTGTTAAAGTCAACAGTTCGTTTCAAGGGAGAAAGTCAGATCTGCAACTTATTGTGGAGGGTAAAAAACTGGTTGAACATCGATACTTAAACTAGTTTCTTTCCGTAATGGGCATGTGTACCAAGCATGCAGATCTTTGACAACACACACACGCATACATAGTATGTACATGTTTACCTGTAAAAATGGAAATTCAACATTTGAAAGCACATTTATATGTCTGGCTGTAGCTGAGTAAGCAAAGATGCTTGCTTTCCAGGGGGTCAGGGTTCGAATTCCATTGCAGGCAACGTGCAAAATAAGTACAATTTTTTTTTGTTTTTATCTTCATCATTCACTTCACGGATGCTTTTTCAAAAGGAATGCTTCACTTTAAACGCGCGTAGCTGAATTGAATATTTACCGCTATAAAGTACTTTCGTTGACGTTTATGGTAGGATCAACTACGTTTCTTATTGATTTAGGTAGTGATCCTATTTGCTGAGACCAATATTCCTTAAAGAAAGTATTTATGCATATTTTTCAGCTTACAAAAATGTTCCCTATTTAGTTCTAGTCAGTAAATAAGCAATTTTACTTGTCATAAGAAATCGAGCTCAAGAACAACTACCAAAATAATTATTTTAGTAAGTAATTTGGAAATATATTATAATTTAGCTATGTATGTTTATATAAGATTATTTGCACCCAACGCACAAATGTATACTAACCTCTCTGGCATGATATGCGAAGCTATTGGAGTCGCATGCAGTTTTTGCGCCATGTAAAATGTGCCGTGTGGAAACAAGTCATTCAAAATTTTGTAGTTATATGTTTGAATTTTTCAAAGCGGATAATGAGTAAATTTATATGCGAGTATATTTAAATTGTATTAATTAACTATGAAATGTGTACGAATTGGAACACATCTAGCAATATACCTTATATGTACTATTTATTTCTGGGACAGTCATACAAAATCGTACTTAATACGCGAACAACAATAAGTATTGTATTAATTTATGTATGTATGTATGTATGTTTGTTTGTTTGTTTGTTTTAGATTTTCTTGACGAATGCAAATTATATATTACAAGAATTTTTTAATTTTATACCTGGCCTACGGGCCATGCTAGTGTATATTTGCAAATCCCTCCTTTATAAAGGTATGTTTGAAAGGATGATACACTACTCAAAATTGGTAGAAAAAGTCGATAATTTTTCAATATAAAAATTTATTTTAATCAATCTTTACCAAAGTCGGTGCACACATTACTTTCGGTCTCACTAAGTAAAGCGTTTTGAAATCGAGCAGCAAAGACGCCCAGATCCCATTTGAAGGAAGCTTTGCCAAAAATAACAACTTCGATATTTCAGTAGTCAAATTGTTAAAAACGTATGCATAGAGTAACATTTTAAGGACTTTGAAATTTCGAAATTTGTTTAGTTCAACAAATCACAATATGGGTATTAAATAAAAGAGAAACTTCTTTAGAATTTAAAAATAAAATTGTATGGTACATAAGGACGAATAGGTATTGAAAGTGTCCTTTTGAAATTGGATCCTTGAATTTCTTTGAAAATTTGCAATATCTATTTTTGAAAAAATTATATGATACGGACTAATGTGCACACTACCTACATCCTATAACTTCGTCCTTTTCACTTTATTAGCTTTTAAATAAGGGCATTTACAATAACTATTCGTCCTTGTGAACCAAAAAATTTGATTTATATTAATTATACAGAAATTTCTCTTTCGTTTGATATTCATATAGTTATTCGACATTGCACTGAGGTTTTTAAATAATTTTGGTAATTAGGTAGTCATCACTTCGAAACTTGAAAGTCATTTTTAAGAAAATCCTGACGTTAGAGGAAATTTAAGCCCAGTCTTATTATAGTTCTGTTTGTCAAGCCAAAAATGTTTACGAATTTGTACGAATTATTATGATTTTTGTTCAAATCGCGTGCGTGCAGACCAAAAAATTATCCATCACTCAATAATTTTGAGCGCAAAGTGACAGTTCTTTTGGAGAGAAGTCACGAAAATTATGATTGTGGCACATGATTGCATTTTTGTCGACGATAACAAGTTCGTTAAATTTAAAAATCTATAAGCTTTAGCGATTTTCTAACGAATTAATAGTAACAATAATAATAGATTGGCGCTTACACATATGTTAGTGTTTGGCCGAGCTTCTCCTCCGAATTGTGGCGTGCGCTTTGATTTTGTCACACAAAGGGACAAAGGGGAGGGATCTACAGTTTTACGCCGACTCCGAATGTCGATTGTATTTTTATGAGAAACTGTGTTTCATAGCAGAAATACACTCAGAGGTTTGCCATTGCCTGCCGAGGGGCGACCGCTGTTCAGAAAAAACCTTTGTTTTTGTGATGTTGCTTTGGTCATGGCTTGAACCCAGGGGATGCGGAGTGGAAGCGCGCACTGCTTACCACTACACCACGGCGGAAAAATTTAGGTTAATGCCTGTGACTTAATTAATTTAGCTAATTCCAATGATTTGAAATGTAAAGAAAGTCAGAATAACAAGAAATATACATACATGTAGATTAGGGCGGGTCGCTTTCTCAAATCCCTTGGTAATAGTGAAAATATATTTGGGGTATTCACAACGGTGTGTAAGTGTCGTATTGTTGTATGTCGTAAACTTTAAACCCCTAAAAAATATATTAAGGGGTTTCGCAAAGTATTCTTGTTAAAAACTCTGGGTTCAGCGAAAAGATTTGGTGTATGTTATTAGATAATGAATCCGTTAACGCAAAAGATAAAGTCAAATATCATTTCTCGCAGCCC